AAAGAAAACTCATATAAGAAAGAGTGTCCTACTTGTAGGGTGTCCAGATATAAGAAGAAAGCACATACTAGTAAGAATGATATACCTCTCAAGGTAGTACAATAATTTCCTATTACACAGAGGCTGCAGAGACTTTACAAGTGTAAGAAGACAACGGTGGCAATGACCTAGCATGATCGTGCTCTTCCAAGTGAAGATGTCAAAATGAGTCATCCGAGAGATTCACCTGCATGGAAGAATTTTGATAAGTTACATCCAATATTTTGTTAGGATCCTCGTAATATCAGGCTCGGACTAGCTAGTGATGGCTTTTGCCCATTTAGTTTTAATGGTAATCCACACAGCACATGACCGATTGTAATGATGATTATAATCTCTCACCGTGGTTGGCTATGGATCAATCATATTTTATGATGCCTCTTTTGATTGATGGACCCAGTTCACCGGGAAATAATATCGACGTTTATCCCCGACCTCTCATCGAAGAGTTACGGTCTTTATTCATTAATGGTGTGGAGACATATGATGCAGATAAAGGGGAAACCTTCATAATGCGTGCAGCCTTAATGTGGACAATTAATGATTTTCCTGCATATGGAATGCTATCAGGATATTCTGTACATGGTTATAAAGTATGTCCATATTGCCACGTGGATACAACATCGACATGGTTGCCTTTTAGCAAAAAGATATGTTATTGTGGTCATCGACGTATGTTGAAAGAAGACCATCTCTATAGGGATGTTCACTTTGATGGTACTACAGAGCACCGAAAGGCTCCAGTCACTTATCTGGAGCGGATATACTTGGTCAATGGAATGATTATGAAAATGTGATTTTTGGAAAAGTAATGGAAGGACAGGAAAAGCCACAAGGATGGAATAAGAAAATTATTTTCTTTGAACTACCGTATTGGGTGATAAATATAGTGCATCACAATTTGGACATCATGCACATTGAGAAGGGGGTATCTGAGCACATACTTAACTTGCTCCTTTGTAAAGATGAAAAATCGAAAGATAACCTACAAGCTCGGAGGGATCTACAACACTTCAACATTAGAAAAGAGTTGCACCCTATACCTAAATTAGGTAAACCAGGAAAATTTGTACTCCCCAATCTCGTTTATCATATGTCAAAACTAGAAAAGAAAATATTTTTGGAGGTATTGCATGAGCTGAAGGTTCCTACATATGTCAAAACTAGAAAAGAAAATATTTTTGGAGGTATTGCATGAGCTGAAGGTTCCTACAGGGTTTTCTGGATCATTTAATAAGAGGTATTGCATGAGCTGAAGGTTCCTACAGGGTTTTCTGGATCATTTAATAAGAAGATAAAGACTGTAAAAAGCAAGATTGATGGGTTAAAGAGTCATTATCACCATGTTATTATGGAGCACCTTCTCCCACTATCCCTTAGGGCTTCGCTTCTTGAATCTGTTGGTTTAGTGATCAACGAACTTTGCAGCTTTTTTAGGGAATTGTGTGCTAAAACCATTGAGGACAAGGAGTTGGAGAAGCTACAAGAAGCAATTCCCTTAATATTGTGCAAGCTTGAGCGGATTGTTCCACCATCATTCTTTGATATTATAATACATCTGACTGTTCATCTTGCAACCGAAGCAAGGCTTGCTAGACCAGTACAATATCGGTGAATGTATCCTATAGAAAGGTGTTTCACTTTTTTCTTTGACACAACCAATATAACTTTTCTATTTTGTATGTTTGTATGTAGTAATCTAATACTAGTATTTGTAGGTACATTCTCACTCTAAAAAATTACATTCGGAATAGAAATCGGCCAAAGTGTTCTATAATGGAAGGTTATCTCCTAGAGGAGGTAACGACATTTTGTTCTCGTTATTTGGATGAAAACATAGAGACGAAGCTCAATAGTCCTGTGCGTAGTATTCGTGATGGAACACATGACAAACTAACTTATACGACAATGGGAATCACATTTATTAATCAGATACATCAATTTATCCTCCTCAATAGCATTTGCCTTGAGGAAATTAGAGGGAAAGTCTATTTTGCATTTACTATTATATGTGTATGTATGCATGAAATAATATAATGTTGATGTTAACAATTCATGTTGAGAATAAAATTCATAAGGATGAATTACATGAAGAGCATCACATATGGAATGATGAACGGTTGGAGAAGCATCATCAAAAAATTTTTTGTGTCTGGTTTAAAAATTATGTAAGAATTTCTTATATGTCATAGTATAAATCTATAATTTTATCTTTATATTCCTAGAATTGGAATGATGAACTGTTTTCTCAGGTCCAAGATCCAATAATCTATAATTTTATCTTTATATTCCTAGAATTGGAATGATGAACTGTTTTCTCAGGTCCAAGATCCAAACTCAGAATTAATATTCCTAGAATTGGAATGATGAACTGTTTTCTCAGGTCCAAGATCCAAACTCAGAATTAACATTAGATGGTGATTTGAGATGTCTAGCTCGGCATCCAAGCTTGGAGGTTGCATACTACAAAGGATTTAGTATAAATGGTTACAAATTTGAAATCAAGGAGATAGAAGAATCTCGGACTACCTAGAATAGTGGAATTGCGGCCATTAGAGCTGAAAGAATGATTTACTATGGGTATTTGGATAGAATACTTGGTATTCGCTATCCGGGACGAGCCAAACTAGTATATATATTTAAGTGTGTTTGGTATCATACAAGAACCGAACATGGAAAATGGAGAGACATACGGGACTTGGAAAGATGAATATGGATTGACTAGTGTAAACACTAATCTTTTTTAGTTTGAAGACGAACAATATATATTCCCGGAACAAGCATTTCAAGTATATTGAGTTCAGGATGGAGTGTTGTTTGTCGATGGAAACCGAGAGATACCTACGATGTACCACAATTCGCGGATATGACATAGGACAACATTGAGATAGATTCTGATGATGAAGGACTTAGATTGCTACAACCTACTATTTCCATAGATCAAAATGTATCTCGAGTTGAGTGTGAGCATGAAGTTTCATGGGTTAGGAATGATTTCGATCACGAAATCGTTGTAGATATTCCTACAACGTCTAAGAAGTCTATTAAAAGACAAAGGTAATAATCATTGAAAATATCCATATGTTAATATTTTCATATATATATTTACACACATGTAAAAAGGAAAAAGGTAATAATCATTGAAAATCATCTTGAAATTTACGCACATGTATTGCACGCATCTCATATATATATATATATTTACTCTTGTTTAGGGGTTGGCAAAGATGTCTAGTCGAGGACCATCAAAGTCCAAAACTAGACGGATGGCGCCTAAGAAGCTCTTGCATCAAGCGAGGGAGCGTCAGATGGAGCTAGAAGGCGCTCGTCGTTCCATATCTATCCTTAGTGTTCCTCCCTCTACATCCTTCTGCAGTGACGATAGAGAGATGAATCACATTACTCCGGAGTCTTCTTATAGGGTAGATTTTACATATTTCCGTGCAGATTAGTAGGCTTTTATTTTGATTCTTGTTTTGTTTGCATAATATTTTTTATACTATATTGTTTTCTTTCAAAATATAGCACCTCAGCCTAAGGAACATGATTTGCCGACCTCTACACACTCCATACCATCTGTACACTCGATGGGTAAGTATTATTTAATGCATTAATGTCAAATGCATTTTGTATTATTTTATCCAGATGGTACCTATATTATTACATTTTGTTATATAGTTGGAGAGGATGCCTCTACATCCGTATCAGCAACTCGTCCTCTACATTTGAGAAACTATCATCCTAATCGTGCTCCTAAACGTGCAGAGAAGCGTGCTACAAGAACTAAAGGTATCTATATCATTTGATTTTATTATTTTTAATATCCTTTTTATTTTCTAGTATCCTTTCTTGTTTCATATTTTTTAGATGCAGGGCTACCACAGGCATGTAAGAAGACTCGGGGGAAGAATAAAGCCCATCGATTGGCGCCGAGTCCCGAGATAGATGAGCCGACATTCCCTTTGCATTTTGATGAGGAGTTTCGCATAATTGGCTCCAATGTTGAGCGATTTGGGCAGTATATTGGCAGAAAAGCCGTCAATTTACGAACTTTCCACTTCATCTGAACTGGTGTGCGCATCATGAGCGTTCATTTGAAAACTTCTTCCTCCAAGCTCAGGCTTAGAGACATTTTTAATTTGCAAAATCAAGATAATTTAGTATCATTTGGTACCTATCCACTCTAATACATTAATTTTGTTGAATATGCAGAAAGATTATGAGTTTTTGCCCCAAGATCCTTATTGTCCACTCAACCTTCCTATTATCTACCGAGGCATAAAGACAAAGATGCAGGAGAGGGTCCGTGGCAATCGAAATCAGGTGAAGACGGAGTGCTATGAACTATGGTTGAAGACCCTAGAAGAGAAGAGACGTGCTCTCTTCCAGGAAAAGGTGTTTGAAGGGATTGATAAAAATTGGTGGGGTGTCCTATGCTCTTTTTATTCTTCTAAGAGCAAGCAGGTATATATTTAACAATAAATATGATGTCTAGTATATACTTAGTATTAGATTGAAATCTAATTCTTACTTTTATGTGTAGGCGGAGGCAAAACAAAATAAGGTGAATCGAGAATCTAAGAAGCAAGGTTGAGCAATCTATACAGGTGGCTCATGGAGCATAGTTCGAGCAAAACAGAGAGTGATATTAAGTATTCTTTGAGTTTTAAAAAAATACATTTTTTATTTATAATATGATATGTTATACATATTTTTTTTTGAGTTACAAAAAGCTCAAATCGAAGAATCAAGTGGCTCCTCAAGTGCCTTGAAGGAGTATTTGGGTACCCACGCGATATTAGTGGATCCAAATGGTGACACATACTCGTGTATATATCCTGACACCCAAACTCAAGAGTATTGTGTAAGTGTTCATTTTACGACGAATTCAAACGTTTTTCTTAAGTATATTTATAATAATATTGTTGAGTTACATTTGAATACTTTACGTGATATAGGACCGGGTGATAGAAAAGGCAAAATCATTAGGCGTCGACCAAGAACCCAAGTTTGCCGCGATGACCAAAGTTTTAGATGAGGTACATGGAGGGCATCACGGCGGTTATGAGAGAGGCTTGGGTCATGGTGTCAGTAGACATTATTTGAAGACTTCTTCCACTCCGATATTTGCTTTTGCCACTCCTCCCGATGTCCTTCGTGAGATGACCGAGCTTAAGTCCAAGATGGAACGACTTACCCAACTAGTACGTATGCAAAAAAAACCTCAATATTATCTCATTCCCTTACACCCTCAATGAGTTAACTTGCTAGCAACTTAATACTGAAACATAACTTTACATGAGACCTGGGGACTGGACATGGTTTGGGTGGTTTGGCAAAAGAGAAAGATAACATATACAAATTAAATATGAAACATATCGCAGTCATTTTCCCTTTGTCAACAGGTTCAATATCTACATCAGGTGTCTTTTGGGAGAGTGTAGACTTTTGAGCTGTGGAATAATCGAGTAAAAATGAAGGAGTAATTCCTGAGAATAAGTACTCCTTTGTGTGGTAATTGTATTGAAGACTAGAAACACAGAACCCGCATCATCATGAATTAGACACATCAAACCCAAATACTACTTTGAACATCACTAGAGTTAGGACATTGACACTATGAGGGAGGATAATTATGGAGATTGCCAACTTAAATGAGCTCATTAGTTATATAGGAACACAGCTGGATAAAATTACAGTCGAGTAATCAAAGCAAAAGATATTTTAATAGTTGAGACATCTCTTTCTATTTTATTAGACAATTAACATATACAACACTCCTTTATATGGTGATTGGTGTATTCCTGATATCTTTCATGGTGATTAAAGCCAAGCTTTTGGGGTAAAAAGTGCTTTATTAGATGGCGACAAACAAAAGTATTGCTAATTTTTTACATGCATAATCAGCCTTCATTCATCCTTTCTATGAGTTAATGCCCCCACTTTGTTACACCACCAAGTATTGAAGCATCTTGTAATTAATATGAGAGAGCCTGAGTTTTCATGTTTGGATATACTTAGTTAGCCGCATTCATGTCACAAATGCTTCAACACTACAAATGCATGTCATAAATTATTCATACAACAAAAGGCTTGTTTATTAAGCTTAAGTTTTCATGTTTGGATATACTTGGTGTGAATTCAATTTATATAATACAAGGATCCCTAGGTAATATGAGTGGTTAAAAACTTTGGTGGATACACTATTCCCTATCCACTTAAGTTGACACAAGTTTGCACCTATATATATATATACTAGTTAAATTGCACGTGCAATGCACGTGGTAATTGTTTTTAATTTATTATTTTATTATTGATTCATTTCATTAAGATTAATTTAATTTAAACCATATATCAAACACATGTATAGAATTTAAAAATTCAAAAGGATTGAATATTGAAATTACATTTATGTATCAACCGGGTAATAATAGATTGTATGCATCCTTAACAATAGTAAATAATGAATAATTTTATTAAAGACTTTTATTTGATATACAACATTAAGTTTCAATCCACCAATACTACTTATATACAGATGACAATAGACGATCTATTTAATCATAATTATCCAATATAAATGCTACTAAAATAGTAGCATTGTTATTTTTCTTTACTCCTACTTATTTCTATCTCATCAAAACAATTAACAGTCATGCAACAATAGAGATATTATAAATATCTCTCTTTATCATTGGATATTTTGAGCTTTAATGGTTTCAAATTTATTTATAGCGGTAAGCTACTTATACCTACTCATACATATTACGAGCGTAAGATTTTCTGATTACATGTCTATGAAATTTACTGAATCAAAGTAAATTGCAAGATTTTAAAAATTTGCGAAGATAGTATAGAGCAAGAATTTTTGAGAACGCAAAGAACCAAAGAATTATACTCTTAAAACAACAATTCTATCTTTGATAAAATCAATTGCGGATGAAACCAAAGGTGGAAAACCATGAGACTAAAAAGAATTAGATTTTTCTTTACAGATATGGATCAGGTTTAATTGATATTTCCTGTATAGTTCACTCTCAGATTGGGCTCCAATAAGTTTCTTATTAGAATGAAATTCAGATGTCACATAGATCCACTGGAGCTAAATTATCACAGGCTAAAAACAATGACATATAGAACTATTGATTCACCAAAGCCTTTTTTGAATCATTTGCTACCCATGTTTTTTTAATAA